CTTTGTGATTGTGGCTGTTGTTTGTGTATGATTTTAGATTTCGGTGTAATCCTGGTTGTGGTTGCTTGTATTTGTGAGTGTTTGTTTGGATAGTCACGTTTGTGTGTTGTGTTGGAGTTGGTGTGTGAGGTAACGCGTGAACGTGTGCCTGCGTGTCGGTGTCAGTTTGTGTATGGGTGTCGGATTGACAATCAGTGTTGGTATTTTTGTTGAGTGCGCCAGTGCGTGTGTGGTTGTGGTTGTTGGTGTGTGTGTGTGTTCGTCTCCTTGTTGGCTTTATGATTGCAGTGTGGAATTGAGTGTGATGGAGTGTAGTGGGGTGTAGTGGAGTGGATAGTGGTGATGCAGGTGTGTGTTAAGGTGATTTTTTTGCGATATTGCTGATGCTGATAATGCGAATGATGCGGTTTGGTTCTGTTCGGTCTACAGACATTGAGCCAGTCACGTGGACATTAATAAATGCGTGGATGTGGAGGATGAGTGAGAAATGGAATGTGGTTTATGGGTTTTGATTTGTGTGTCGTGTTCTATTGTTGGTGATTGATGATTGTTGATTGGGAGTAGTGTGTGATACAGTGGAGTGAGTCAGGAGGCGTGGGAATTGGAGGTATGAGATATGAAGTGTGTATAGTTTGTTGGTAGGTGTGTGGAGGGAGTAATGGAGAAGGCGAGTGTTTAAATTCACTCACCTTCTTTTTCAGTTTGAACCGGATATGTTGACGGTAGATTGCTGCAGTTTGTTTGCTGGAGTTTCCTTTCATATTCTTCTCCTTCTTTTTGGTGTGACTGCGCTGTGAATTTTTATTTTGTATCTCTGGTTCATATGTATGCATTCGAGTAGGTGGTTGTTTTTTTATTGTTAGAGCTTATATTTCTATTACTTTCTTTATTCTAGATTTTATGGATATGCGTGAGGTGTGTTAATTTCTTGACTTAGTGTAATAATAATTGTTTTCGCGACGCGGGGTATGTTTTAGGTGTGTGCGTAACTTTCATTCTGTCTTTGTTGCCTTCTGTCTTGTTTATGTGCTTTGTGTTATTTACCTTTTTTTACTGATGTCAACGATGGAGTTTTTGCGTGATTTCTTGTCGCTTTTTTATTTTTGATATGATGGCCACTATTGTATTTTTTGGGATTGATGGTTTCATCTTTTTTAAATTGCTCTAGTCTGTTTGTTTATTTATTTCTCTGTTTAGCTTTTACGTATTTCTTTTTAGTATGTTGACTCTGTTTCTTAGTTGCTTGCCTTCCGGTCTAATCTTTTTTTCTTGTTTTTCGTTCTCTATCCATTTGCATTTTATTTTGTCAGTTGACCCTTTTTTCTGGCTTTTGACCTTCATTCCTCTCTCGTCCTTTTTTGTTCCTATTTATTTGGATTCCTTTGCATATACCTATTTGGAATTTCTCTAGTTTACTGTCCGAATGTTTCACTATTTGTTTCGATGACTTGTATCTTCCCCTTTTGTTTCTCTTTTTCATATTTATTCTATATTTCAATAAATTTTTCTGACATAAAATCATTTGTGGCTGCAGTCTTCTTGATTTATTGGGCTTCATTCCTCTCCACTAATCAATGTTGAGTATGTAGGTTTCCAGATATCGCTGGTTTTTACCTCGTATTTCCAAATCAAGCCACTGAACGGCATTTCCTTCCAATTACCTTGGGCTTTCAGATTGTTCTAACGATCTACATCTACATCTTTTCTGAGGACCACATTAATGTGACTTAATCATATGTCATAGAGATGATTTTGTAAAGGCTATCACTTCAAACCATCACTTCTATTATGAATAAGCATGAGTCACATTGAACGACGGTTAGGAAATTTCACGTTTTGAATTTATGTGATTCTACTTTGCAAAGTATTCCCCTTCTACACATGATTTCATAACTGAGAGTGATTAGAACTCAACTGGTTTGTGTGCAGGCGTGCATTCGCCACTTATTTGTATTTGACAAATCTCACCATTTTCTGCATATGCTTACAACCTCTTTCGTTTTAATTTGCTTATTTACTGACTCTATTCTCAGCCATATACAATAACACTATTCATATAATCATTGTCAATGGCGCACAAAGTGTCCATATAAAATGTCAAAAATGTAGAATCGGTTCCCATCTCACAAATGATAAAATGGTTATATCTTACCCACATCCGTATTTCTTTCTGAAAATTAAATTTAGCAATGTATCATCATTGACAAGCGTTGACTGATTATTTGACTTATATGAAGGCTATACTTCGTGAAACACTGTTCAGCTGATGATACTGTTTGTTCTGAACAGAATCGGTTGCCAAGGGAAAATATAATTGAAATGGATCCATGAAAATGCACAAGTCATTACGTCTCCATGATCATTCAACTGATTCTTCCCTTCGACTATAACTGGCTCTCTTATACGCACAGCCTTAAGGAATATCTGTCAGTAAATAAACCGTGTAGAGTGAAAAGTTTCTCTCCAGAGCCTTCAAATACACTCTGTCTTAACGAGCCTCAAATGCAGACAGTGAAAAACAGTTGCGGTGAATCGGGAAATGAAAAACACGACTTCTGTGTCATCCACTCTACTGTGATAACCCATTCACATCAATCCAATTCATGTGTTTTCGATATAGTCAATAAAAACGACCACATGCATGCTGAAAAAGTATATTCGAAGGAATGATCTGACCAACTCTATGCGATAAACTGTCCTCTGAAAATTCTAATTTGTTTTGCAAGTTTTAAAGTATGTTCTTGAACCTCTCATCACCAGGTTAGGTGACTACTTCAGCAATTGCTTCATACACAGTTGAAGTGTAGTCATTTTGCATCAATGTTTATAAAGGATATTGACCGACATTAAGTATCATTGCATTGTAGGTGGAGGTTATTCGATTCCTTCAACCATTAGACATCGATATTTAAGCCATTGCGAACATTTAACCTATTTTTTTGAAGTAATATCTGATTATCGATTGGCATGATTAATTTCCAGTTTGCTGATCTCATCTTAGTAGTGCCATCATTGGTTCAAAGTGAGTGAACCGTGGTTACCATTTCTTTTGAGTTTCATGCTTTCAGGAACCTGTTGGCAGTTTTTCAGTTAGCTTGTTGTAGCATTCCCACGTTATCCCAATCGAGGTTCTAGTTGTGCTCATTCAAACATATCAACATCAAAAAGTATGTATCGTTCCGTTCGACTGCAAGTTGGTGCTCAAACACTTCCCAGCCTATTCGACGACTTAACTGACCAACAATCAGTCTTTGCGACCAATTTCGTTGATGATATTTATCTCACCTTCTTCGCACAATGGATCACTTAAGTTGCATAATATGCTCTTCAGGAATTTCCTTGGTTTGTGTGCCACGTTGATACCAAGTGGATGAAGTAGTCAGTTGACGGTCTGTGAGACATGCTTGATATATGGTGAAGTGACTCGTTTAGTAGGTTCAGGTAATTGTCGTGGTGTGTGTTCTGTTGACAGGCATTTCTTGATAAAGTCAACTTGATAGTCATTGTCTGTGAACATATTGTAAATGTGTAAATCTTTCGACTTCTGTACTTGTTAAGTACTTCAGTGAGTCTTGGTATGTGCGACTAGTGTTTGTATGCGTTGAATTGTTACACGTTTCTTCCTAAACCTGATCTATTCGCGTTGACTTCTGGTACACTTGAGTTTGTAAATTTTAATGTTAAGAACGTTTAGGAACACGTCTATGCAACTTTTTCTCCTCCTTCTTCTGCTTGTATAGATTGAGTACGTTTAGAAATTTGGTTGATGAGACTGAACTCATTTATTATTACTGACATAACAAATTCAAATATACTACACTAAGCAGCTTTGATGTCATTCATTCATTCATTCAGTCAGTCAGTCAGCCAGCCAGCCAGCCAGCCGGACAGACGGACAAAAAGACAGACAGACAGACAGACAGTTCCTTTGATTTGTTTGCACATCTTCGCTTCGAAGTGAAATTATCCGCTGAATACTAGGCTGTTTACTTCTACTAAGCGTGTAGCAGTAATTTACCTAGCTTAGAAAACTCTGGTTGTTGTTGTTGAGAAGGCTACTCATTGTTAATTTGTCGAGATTTTCGTTGGTTGACGTGAAAAATGCAGGTACATCGGGGAAACAATTTTCGTCACTGTCTCTTTTGACAATTTAAATTATCTCCAAGATCTGAATTCATGAACTGACATCATGTTGATCAGCATGGGCAATCAATCAGGTTGATATTTTGTCAATAATTGCCAAGGGTGAAACAAGCCACACTTCAACATCATTATCATCATCATCATCATCATCATCATCATCATCATCATCATCATCATCATCATCAACTTTTCAGTTATGCGGGATATTCAAGTGAGGAGGACACCGATGTGATTCTTTTAACCGTTATCCGATTGCAAAGAGTGGTCAGTTGTAGTTGAAGGATTGAGTGACATGGGAATTTACCACATACTATGATGAACATTTGTTGAAGGACAGATAAGCAGAGAGTGTGATCTTCACTATTCACTCGTTACGTATTATTTCGGCTGGTAAGGTGAGACATGTCTCAAATGGATTGGGATGCCTGCAAGTGTTCGTACCTACTTGATATCTACAACACACCAGTCACTGTGCTACTCGTCAAGGGTTGTATGAGTATTTCCACAAAAAATTACTTCTAAGCTGAATCCTTGATAGCAAGACGGAGAAACACGAGGTTGAGCATCCTGCTTACTATCTGTTGGTGAACAGTGGAAGGTGCCTGAAATGTCAGGCAGGGGTAGTGAGAAAAACTTTGCTTAAAAATATCCCCACATCCCCAACCAGAGATTCTTCTGATGGTTTCGTCATTATGAACGTGATCGAAGAAAAAGCGTTCGCATATCACACTACGAAATTCAACGTAATTTCCATACGTGTTTCAAACTTGATATCATCGCAGAATTATCCTCAGTAAAACTAAACACCGATAGCTACACATAGATCATTTAAGCAAAGTTTAGATGAATGCAGTGAAATGTGTACATATGCATTGATGTGTTTATACTCGAACGACACCGTCAATCCTCAGATTGGAACAAAACGTTTGATGACGCAAATGGCGATTATGGATGAAAAAAGGAACAAACCTGATGATGGAAAATTTACAGTTCCGCTAGGAATTTTGCCAGACTGTGTTGAAGTTCGTGACGGCGGTGCTGCTCGTTGTTTAAAAATGATGAGAAGAACACACAAAAAATTATTTCCGGGTCACATATTTCTAATACGTCATACTCAGATACAAACAACTGAAACATTCACAAATAATAAAGACAAAACGTCGTATAGACGAACATGTATGTGGATATCTATTGAAATTTGAATCCACTTTCAATAAGGTAAAATTATTGTCCCCTAATCAGTGTGCTCCTATTCCTCGGTTTAGTTGACATCCTCCATCGAATCCAACATATTTTGCTGGTGTCGTCGATGCTGACAATCACTGACAAACAGCAGGTCGAACAAGTGCAGTGAATGTCTCATCAAATATAACTCTGATAATACCTCTACACTAGATCTCTGTACATAAATATCAGTCGACAAAATGAATTATCTAAGTGTGTAAGATGGTGATTCTGAAGCATCTGTACATTACACTTCACTAATGACAAATTAGTGTGCCCCTGCTATCAGAAACGAACTGGGGAGAGGAAATGACACCAGTTATGATATTACCAAAAATTGTAGAACAGTGACTAATCGAATTGAAGGCAACACGGTTCATGAATCATAATAATAAACAAATAAATGAATGAAATGAGGATCTGCTCAGTGCTGGGCAAAACATCATCACTCACATACAGGTAAGTCCCCCACCACCCCCAATTTCATACCCAATCCTCATTGTCTCATAACCAAATGTCAACCTTCTTCAATCAAAAATCACATTGGATGTGTGAGCAATAGGTGTCAGACGCTGACACATCAAAACTAAGTGGGCTTTCGCCTCATAAATCCACAGAAATATGTCACATTTTCACCTAAACACAATCTGCAATCAACATCTTCATGAGGACAGATAGTGTGCTGAATCATTAGCACATCACCATTTAGTAACCTTTTGGCAGATGTGTAAATGTTACCACTATCAGATAAGTCAATTACTGCTACTACAAGATGTCCATTCGTGTGAGAATTGCAGTCGAATCTGATTTAGAGTGAATGCTTATCTTCACCTGGTATCTGAATTCACCCTACACTGTCCACTCACCAGCTTCAAACTATCTGTTGTCAGTTTGGTAAGAGTAAACTTCATGCACTATGGAAGAGTCCAATTCCATGTTGAATTGTTTATTTATTATGTCACACAGTGATACAGTATTATTTACTTGGTTGAAGATATTTAGAAATAATCTGATTTCTCATGCATCAAACATGAAGAGCATGGTAGTTTGTGTGTCATGATTCAGTCTGTGAAAGTCGTGTGAGTTTACTCACCAGTCTTCGAATAGGAAGACCATAATTTTCGTTAATGTATTTATTAGTCAAACTTGGTCACTGTGTTAGTCGATAATTCTACATCGAATAAACATTATTATATGATGTTTGCAGTGTCGCATTATCTGACTATTGATTGTTTCATTCCTATGACAGATTGATCAAAAATATCCTGCGTTTGCACGTAGTCTGTAAGAAAGCGTGTCTAACGTTTTTCAGAGAACTGCCCTCATCTGATCTCCCATATGCATTGAGAAGGAACTACATAATATCTCACAAAATGATATTCATATCTAACTTACACCAATCGGCACATTCAAAATACACCTAATCTGTCCTGAAATCTAACGCAAAATGAAACTCATATTCACGATGAAATTCAGTTGCGAACTACAGAAGAGTTATGGACTTACTTTCTTTGATTGTAGCATCTCCCAATGTGAGTAGTAGTCGTAGTAGTAGTGGTAGTAGTAGTAGTAGTAGTAGTAGTAGTAGTGGTAGTGGTAGTGGTAGTAGTAGTAGTAGTAGCAGTAGTAGTAGTAGTAGTAGTGGTAGTGGTAGTAGTAGTAGTAGTAGTAGTAGTAGTAGTAGTAGTAGTAGTAGTAGTAGTAGTAGTAGTAGTGGTAGTGGTAGTAGTAGTAGTAGTGGTAGTGGTAGTAGTAGTGGTAGTGGTAGTAGTAGTAGTAGTAGTAGTAGTAGTAGTAGTAGTAGTAGTAGTAGTAGTAGTAGTAGTAGTAGTAGTAGTAGTAGTAGAATGATTAGAATTACCACTTTTGTTAATATACAACTCATGTTTCGCTGTCACTTACCTCGCTCCTAATGTTCACTTAATATGCTTTCATATTTTATCTAATTGTGCTTTGAAGTTGCCGTTCATATACTTGTGTACTGTGGTTTGTAGGTCACTCGAAAATTGTTATAATCTACTGAAGCACATAACATACAGATCAATCCTGACTGTTCAGTTCAATCAATGTCTTGTGCATCTACAAACATATCAGTAAGGTTAACTAGAGTTGTTCTTATACTTTCATCCAACCTACAAAATTCAATGAAATCTATGAATATTTGCAATCCTGAGAATTATGTTTCTGAATATGCACTTTACTCTCTGTGGCAATGAATTCCATTCGCACTTCATTATCAATCTGCTAGTAATATATTCTATGCATACATTGAGAAAAACATAAATAAGGTATAGAATAGAGGTTTACTTGAGTTGTGAATGAATTAAATGCACTTGATAAGTTGAGGTAGAGCGACAATGACAGTTTCAGCAGGATAGCATGGATCTACTATACTTCGAGATATCTTATCACTGATCAATTCGGTCGAATCAACGACGTGGTTACATTAGGAACAAGGTAAAGCCTATACTCCTTGGACAAGAGGTGACTATTGTGACTCACACTGGCGTTTGAGGCAATCGGTTCTGGGTGCCAGTCTTAGTGGGAACTACATCGCTCATCTACAGGTAGGCACATTCAGCTGACGAGTCCTAAATAGAACAAAATGTGTGTCCTGAAATCCATTGATAGTCGCTGTCTATCATTACCGCAATATCTTATCACCTGTCAACAGCCTGAAGCAATGCTAGTATCAAAATATAGAAAAATGTTGATATACGTTTAGCAATTTTGATAGGAGATTATCACCTTGGAGAAGAGAGGACTTGGTGTCACGTAAAAGAAGTCACAAAACTCCACTGATAGAAGCTAGTGCTAAGAAGTGATAATAGAAGAAATGTTGACGAGTATACTACAGACGAAGAAGAGAGTTGGACAACAGAGGGAGATAAGCGTCTTTTAGATACTGAAGTAAATGTCACTAAAAAATATATATGTGTAATGCTAAACGATGTAGACTGGCTAAGAAAATAAAACGAGTGAAATTTCAACATTCAGATGAATAGTGTGAAATAGGACAGACAGTGTAAAAGCGTAAATAGATAACGTTATGCGAAGAAATCATGAATGTGGGCAAGATTATAAATTACCATGATATGAACAATCGAATATTTCATTCTGAATACACAACTTCAATTTTGATCTCTGAATAACTAAAGAATCAATGAAGCGTAACGAATTCGAGTTCATTTCGGAGTTTGAAACAATTAGCCCTTTTGATTACTTTGGATGGTGTAATGAGAAAATGGAGGTTATCTGAGAAATGTGATGTATTCGCGCAATACATTACGAACAAGGCTTTTTATATAAAGGATGAAAATATGATGGGGTAACTAAATAAATTCAGATAATACTAGGTTTCGAAAATGTGGGGATAATAAGGAGGAATAATGCATTTATACACTTCGGTTGGCATTAAAATGAGATTAGGATTACCAAGGTAGGATTAAGGTGGGGACAAATTGTTTTTGAATACACAAAGCGTGTTTGAACTTTCGTGTAGCTAAGGCTTCAATGAACTTAAGCATACGATCTCAACGGCTCCTATACAGTGGTCTAAAGGCTGTTTTGCAGTCAATCCTGTGACGTATTTCTATAGTGTGCTTACCCATCGACGATCACGTCTGTCTGCCCCCTGTATATATCGGATTATTTGAACTTAATTTTTTTTCTAACCATTTAAAGATATGCTCCACCAGCCTCGACTTCATGGTTGTGATTACTCCTTCTCCAAATGTAAGTGTCACCGCACACACATGCTAATTGGCATACACAGCTTGATGTGACTCAACCACTTTTGAAGTGATGAGGTTTATTTTGGAGCATAGGTTTCGTTTTCCCGATAATATTTAGTTTGTCTGCGTAGTATGCCTTTCTAATAACTAAATTAAGTCTTCTTCTTAAGATCATACCGTTTGCTTCCACTTTATACGGTAGCGTGATGTAGGCATTCTACTTCGGGACAGAACAATGAATATTTCGCACTGTTGAGACGTTTTTATAACGATTGATGTCCAAAGTAGAATGCCTACATCACGCTACCGTATAAAGTGGAAGCAAACGGTATGATCTTAAGAAGAAGACTTAATTTAGTTATTAGAAAGGCATACTACGCAGACAAACTAAATATTATCGGAAAACGAAACCTATGCTCCAAAATAAACCTCATCACTTCAAAAGTGGTTGAGTCACATCAAGCTGTGTATGCCAATTAGCATGTGTGTGCGGTGACACTTACATTTGGAGAAGGAGTAATCACAACCATGAAGTCGAGGCTGGTGGAGCATATCACTAAATGGTCCCTTCGTATATTGTATTTTTTTCGGTATTTACAAAAGAATAGGCATGTGCGATTGTCTCGGACATGAGAAGTGGACACACCGACTTAAACGTTTCTCAGTAAGCAAGTCGTTTGTTGAAAGCAAATAACCTAGCAACTAAATAGCTTGCCTGTAATACACCACTCATTCTGTCCTTCGTTTCATCAGCGATATCATAATCCTTTGGAAGACGGATCACTTTCAAAGCCAGTTCGACTTTTTATTTTCACTTAATAATTTCTTGTAATTATCAGTGCACTTTTGTAAGTAACCATTATCACACCGGCATTTTTCAGCAGCATTTGGTTACTCTTTAAGCCTATCTTTCCAGCAAACATGTCGCTATCGAAAGAAAAGTGTCTTCACAGTGCGTCTTCTCAAAACATATAGAGTAACGGCTGCTACAACCAAGTTACAGATTCCCTCATGAATCTCTACATTGGGTGAATCTGTGTTCATTGCTATCAAAAGTCCATTGAATTATGAAACTCACAATTGGAGGCTACCTTTCAAAGCATTGGCAATCAACATTTTACGAAACAGTTTCAAGTGTTTCAATGACCAATGAACGATTTTACTGATGAGTGAGATTACCATAGACATGAAGGTATCACAGTGAAATTGGATTTAAATAAATACTATAGGCGATATTCTTAAGC